TTAATCATTATGGAGTGATAACTATTTACAAAGAAAATTGGAGTGTAAACCTATAAAACTAACCAGCCTCTCCTCTGGGGATCATGGCTCTTAACCACTACTTCACAGGACTCACCACTGCCACGCACGTTCCCGCGGCATTTGCTAACATGTTCCTATTATAGCGCTTACTTTAACAACACTGAGGACATTACTTCTTTTTTTAAAACTTGGCAAAAGTTTCACTGACCAACTGGGTACGCATATGAATATGAAATGATTCTATGCATTTTAACATATCATGATTTAAGAAGACTGGAACAGGGGGAATTAAGGTATTCTATTCAATAGAAGATCTCACTTCTCAAAGATGATAGTCAAAAAGTCACAATCATTGTGCACCTCTTAGGCAGAGTATAAAAAGGAAATTGTATAAAAGTCTAAAATCCTTTATTATTGGAACCTATAATGCGTACGTTGAGTGGAGTCAAATGATGTTTATGCTGCTTGCTATATTCAGATAACTTAGAAATAGTTTTGCTTGTTTCTTAATTCCTTGGATACTAAGGAAGGCAGACATTCATATAACCTTTTTCTTTTTCCTGTTAAGCAACAAATGAAGCAAATAATTGGGAGGCTAGTAGCTGTCTAAGGAGACTAAACAATTGCTTAGCTGAGCCTAAAAAGTATAATTTAAGGACATCAAAATTTTGAGAAAACTTTTTTCCACACATTAATTTTTTAACTTCACATGATGTATCTGTTCTCTTTTTAAGTTTCTTAAAGCAGGGATTCCCAAATTCCAGTGCTTTTTTATATACACTGCAGCAACCTTTAAGAATTGTGTATAAGCCAGTACTCAAATTCTGAGACGATTTTCTTCATTATATTTAAATATAGATCACACAGTTTACCTCAAAGAGTCAGTTAATTTTATCATAAAACTGGAGGAATGCTGTGTTCAGCCTACCAACCCCATCCAGGTAGGGGTTTAGTAACGTTGTAGTGATTTTATACACTCATACTTATTTAAAAATCAGTAATAAGGTTTCTAATAGTTTCTGGATTAAAACCAAAGTCGAGCACTTTAGAACTGAATTTGCCATTAGATTTGAAGAATCAAAATTGCTTTTCAGACTTCATCAATTTGCATAATTAAGGCCATGTTTGATACTAAAAGGGGAGGTACTTTGCATTAGATAACCTAGATACTTTCTGGATAGAAGAAATTATTTAGATATATAGGCTCAAAATAAAAATATAGAGTAAAATAATGATTTTAAAATAATAAAATATGTAACATAAGTTAATACTCTCTTGAAGAAAACTTGGTCTCACAATCAGAAATATAAATACTCATTATTAGGGGAAAAATCCCCTTTTTAAATTTATCCTGCTCAGGTTACATTCTAACATTGTTTATTTAAACATCATCCAAGTTATGCTGATTACATTCAAAAGCTCATTGATTTGAGATTCCAAGATAGCTTGAGACATGAAAAAAATGGCAGTCAGATCAGAATTCAAGAGTGATTCTTTAAAATGCTGATATCTGAGAGTGTCTTTAAACAATGTTGAAATCTAAATGTACATAACCTGAGGAAGTAGGAATCTAAATTTTCTAATATAGAAAAATAATCTATTTCACTTAATGCCTTTGTTTCCTATTATTAAAACACAAGATATTCTTAAAGGATTATATCAATTTCATTGTATCTATGCCCTATCATCCTTGACTCTGGTGTGCAAGGGGATCTTCAGTGGAAGCGTTGTCTGTTGAGGCCATTTGTGTGTTCAGATTTTTCACATAAGGGGTAAATGTAAAGAATATGGTAGTGGGAAAAAGAGTGGTGTTTATACATGCTCCTTCTGTTTTTACACTATATCTACAAACATTATCTTCCGGTTCACATTGGCAGAACAGCAAAAGGCCATTACTCTTTACTGAAATATCCCCAAAAGATATATCAAAGCTTCTCTTCCATGAAGATATAGTATCCGAGTAAATTACCAATTAAAAAATATTTTTACCAAAAAAGCCCCTAGAACAAAATAATACTTCTTTCTAAATAAAAAAAAACAACTAAGAACAAAGAAGCCCAGAAAATAACACTAAGGCAAACAGAGAGTTAGCTGCAGAAACTGTGTAAGAAAAAGGATTGTTTTCTGGACCATAGTTTATAACACCAGAAATATGTTTTCCTCTAGTGGATAGCATGAATCTCACAAACTTGGAAAGAATAGTATTAGCACCAGACTTACTGATCCGATCAAGAAGGCTTTAAACTAAGACTCAAAGTGGAAGAGAAAAATGTGATTCAGTAAAATGGATATTATAGAGGACAACAGGTTTGAAATAAAAATAAGACAGTGAAAAAATGTCTAGAAATTATTTTGCAAAAATCATGGCTTGGAATAATACTTAGGCCCAGGATATACAGTGTGCTCAATAAAACTGAAATAAAAACAGTAGATTTGTTAAGCTCTTAAAATGTACTTTAAAAAAATTCTTACACAATCCTGAAAGCTGAGTATAAGAATTGCCACAGATGTTTCTATAAGGACTGCCCTGCACAATCTGCACAAGGGAACCGGGCCTGTGGGACAAGTGGGGGACATATTTCACTCCACACTCCAACTGCCTGATAGGTATCATTATCTTCAAGCTTCCAGGTAGGAGCCTAGGCTTAGGTGTGTTCAGAAAGCTGCTCAAGGTTATATAGCTAAAAAGCAATAAGGCTAGATTTTGGCTAGAATTGGAAGCCAGACGTGTCAGGGGTTCATAATTTTAGCAAAGCACAGTAGGGGTAAATTTGTACACATATATGCATGCATACATACCTTATTCTAAAGTAGCAGAGTGGGGGGAAATTACCTAACTAATTTGTTTACAAGGATGAACAGTGACTGGGAAACGTGTATCATTGCATATCATGGAGTTATACACTAGTTTTATGATGAGGAAACATAAAGACAGGAATTTACAAGCCATGCTCATGTCAGGAAAGCAAAATTTAAGACAGAACAGAAAATGTCATTGGAAATAGCATAGCAATCCCAGCAAAAAATATTTCAGGAGGTAGTTTATTAATAACTAGTACAGCTATAGATAGAAAGGATGGGCTTTAATTAGTTGGGTCCCTCTTTGGAGCAAGGGTAATTCTGCTAAAATTTGTCTGTTTAAGGGGGAGGCTCTGATGGTAACGATTCTTATGTTCAATTTGACCTACAGAAAAGGTGACTTGCAGACACAGCACAGCCTGGGAACAAAGGGTTGCAGAATGTGAGAGTGAAAGAAGGGAATGATGAGCAGGGTTTGGTAAGTTCATTCTGCAGACTTAAAACAGGCAGCCTTCAGCATACAGGAAGCAATGGGCAGTTTCCCGGATACTCTAAGAAAATATAACTGAGGAAGTAAACGAGAAACCAAGCATGAACTTCTGACTCTATCGTTACAAAAAACAAAACAAAACAAAACAAGCCCCCAAAACAACAACAAAAAAACCCAACCGAATAAGCCAGAAAAAAGGAAAAGACACCTAAAGAAAATGATTCAGTTTTACAAACAGCAATTTGGTGTTAGGTTCTTAGTTTTTTGAAAACATATGTAATAAAAGATGAATGTGAATAATCAGATCATGTGGTGGGGACCTGGACGTGAATATGAGGTCTCTAAAGTCAAGAACGTGCAAAGATGCTCCAAATATAAAAGATCTAAAATATTAGTTGTGTTGAGAAAAGAAAAAGGGAAAGAAAGTGATAAGCCCAGCAACCGAGGGAGAAAGCATGGCTGATCTTTTCTGTTCATGTCTTCTCTATCAAGAAAAATTATCATTGAATTAAAACAAGTAAAACAAACAATTTTGATGTGGATTTGGGATTTACTCAGATCTACTTAGGGACTGAAGTAAATGAGGAATAATAAGAGAGAAAGTTTCTGAATGATCCATTGTTGTCTGCTGTATCAGGGACCCATGAATATTTAGACAAGAAAGCAGTGATTATCAAATGCTAGGATGTATTCATTAGAAAATGATTTTTTTTTAGATTATTATACAGGTAGGATAAGAATACTTGACTCACAATATATCTTAATTTTAATGATTCATCTTGCATAATCTTTTATTATAACTTTGCTAACAAGATAAAATGACATTGGTTTTATGATAGTAAAACCAAGTAGATTGCTAATGATTGATCAATCTTTCTCCGAGCAAATTCTGTCCTTTCTGCTATCTAAACTCAAAGTGCTATCCTATGATTTAGTTAAGGAGGTGGAAAACACATTTTACGAATCTCTTGATAATACTCAGATGTGAGGGAAAGCTAATAGACTCTGTAGTAGTCAAATAAACCTTTAAAAAAGTTTTGTTATGCCAAAATAATCACTCCAGATAACTTACTATGTATCTGGACACAATGTAAAGACCTACTTTTAAATTTCAAAAATATCATTTATACCAAAAAAAGGAACATGGTTCATTTGAAAAAATCTGTTTTTACATAGTCTATAATCTTCAGCTACCTTAGGAAAATGTAATATTTGATTGTTCCTTCTCATCTTGCTAAAATACTTCTATTCTTCAGACATATTAAATTAGCTTTTAAAAATCCTATACACAATTTGAACCCCTTAGAATAAAAATATGTAAGACTTCTAACTTCTTAGGAAATAAGACAAAGAATTATGCAGCATAGGTAAGTGTGAGTACATCTTAAATAAGTCTTTTTTTCACAGAAATTATACCATGTAATTTCTATAGCATATCTAATGATGAAGGATTTCAGAAAGCTCACTTTAATATGTCTCCTGTAATAGTGGAAAATGCAAAAATTAATTTCAAAGATTTGTAAATAATCCAGAACAGTTCTAGGTAGCATAATACTATCTTTGATTAGACAAATATATTCTGGAATTCATGCAAAAATGATAAAATTTTATAGCAACAAATCATAGTAACAAAGTCTTCACGAAGGATCACACACACACACACACACACAAAGACAATTATATTTCTCACCTGCCTAATACCCAACCGGTATGCCACAATCCGATCTACTGCATCAGGATTCATCTGAGTCCACTGTAGACTGTAGGAATACACACGGTGCCTGTTCTGCCACACAGGATTGTAGGTGTCGTAATAGAATTCTGGAGCATAGGCCTTTCCTAAAAACAGAAAGAGTGCTTCAATTTGAATGATGATATTACCATAAAGTAATGCTCATATTTAAAAAGTCATATGATTAAAATCTAATTAATTCCTGGAGAATTTTGAGATTAGATGCAAGAGAATTTCCTGGTTGGTTAGATAAGTGATGTGAGAGGAAGAGAATAATCAAGGATGGCTACAAATGTTCTGCCCGAAGCAACTAGCAGAATAGAGTTTCCATCAACTGACACGAAAAGCTATGGAAGCATCAAATTTGAGGGGAGAAGATCAGGAAATTATTTTTGAACAATCTAAATAATCTAAGTGGAGACATCAAGTAGAATATACTAGTTTATAATTCCGAAGAGATTGGAGATATAATCTTGCTTAACCATAGGCCTGTTGATAGATTTTAAACGTAAGCCATAAGACTGATGGGATCACCAAGAGAGTATGTGTGGATAGAGAGGAAGGCTAAGGTCTGACCACTAAGGAAATCCGAAGTTAAGAGATAGGGGAGGAGATAAGAACCCTCACAAAGGCCTGAGATGAACAACCAGTGAATAGGAGGAACATAAGAAATGTGGCATCCTAGAAGTCAAAAGAAATATACCAGTGAGATGGGGTTATGGGATTAAGAGACACAAACTACTGTACATAAAATAAATAAGCAACAAGGATATGCTGTACAGCACAGGGAAATATAACCATTTTTCGCCATAACTTTAAATGGAGCATAATATATAAAAATATTGAATCACAATACTGTACATCTGAAGCCAATATAGTATTGTAAATCAACCATACATCAATAAAAAAGAATTTAAAATAAAGTCTATTCACAAGTGAATGATCAACTCTGACAAAAAATAATTCAGTAAGTATGACAGTTTGTGTTTATCATCCATGTCTTTGGTCAATAAATCTGAGATTAACCAAACACAAACTTAGTAACACAAGAACTTTGGTCAATTAACAAGGAAGCTTTCACTTAGATTTTAAGGATCTGTGAAGCACACATATATAACATACATAAGCCATCTCAGTTTTTTTTTTGTTTTAATCACCAAATTGAAAAGTGCACAAACCATTTGGAATTATAGTTCCAACTTCCTCATATTCTGATATAAAGATTTTCTTCACATCCTGTATTTTTTAACCAATAATTTATTTATTTGTTTATTAAATCAATAACATTTAGTGAGTGCCTATTAAATGCCAAGTAGTATTCTGGCTCTGAGGATACGAAGAGTGAGGAGGTATGGCCTCTGTCTTCCTAGAAATTGCTTACATTTCCCTAGACTTTTCAAATAGCTTTATAATGCTTACTGAATGCTGAGTTAATAAGTTGTACATTTATCATCTCTTATTCAACATCCCTATTCAATATTTTTTAAATATTAGATTGAATTTTATATGTCCTCCTGGGGTTTTCCTCCTGGGTTCCTGTATGCAGGAACGTTTCTCACCTTTTTTTTTTTTTTCTTTATCATTAGTCACCTATCTTTAGGGATTGCAAAAGAGTTGATTCAGAAAAACTTATTGCAGATAGTTAAAGGATGGATTTTGAACACTAAGAATGAAAGTGATACTCTCTATTACCCTGGAGAGTTTCACCAAGAAAAAAGTAAGGCCAGATGAACTGAATTTAATTTTTGACTATTTTGATAACATTTGGAAATGTCTCCTATACCAACATCGTGTACATTAAAAACTGTTCTATGAATATTCATTCTGCTGAATTGAAAATGGATTATCGACTCTATACAAAGAATCTTGTGTAGAAGGGGATCTCTAGAAAAGAGCCATTACATTCATTTTATTCCTTCTTTACCTTGTGTGATACTTTTACTTATTACTAAGTAAATGATAACACAAATTCATGTTCACAACACTTAGTGAAATCTAGATGAGAGGAACACAATAAATATACTGCATGAAGGACTCAATATCCAAATCATTGACAACAGACCAAAATTCCCAAAATGTTATTGAGGAGGTACATTTAGTAGTAACCTAGATAAAGAGTTAGAGGTTTTGATTAAAAATAAGTATCCAAAACCTAGAAATGAATCAATGAGCTGCTAAAGTGGGTAATGTCAACTTACAGTGTTTTCATCAGAGAGCAGTGTCTAGATTGAATTGAGGAGGTAAGATTCTCAATGGTTTTGTAGCTTCTTTGTTTGTTTGTTTTGAGGGGATTGGGGAGAAGGGGGGCTTGCTTTTGTTTTTTAGCTGAGGGGTATTAGATTAAGTCCTAAGTATCACTTTTTTTCTATAAAATTAGTGATGCATTCAAATAGAAACAAGGAGAGAATAAAGGCACAACTGGAGGCAATTTGTATAGAAAAGGAAAAAAAAAATCTCTCAAAAACTGGCAAATGGAGTTTTATGAGAGTTGAAACTGTATCACAGAGAAAAAAAAATCAGGCTAAATTTTAACAGATGTATGAAATAAAATGAATACCAGTGAGTGGTTATTAGAAGAATATGTATTTTGACTTAGAAATGTTCTACCAGCCCTCTCTGAATATGGACTGGCCTACACCAATATTTCCCTTCACTAGAGGTACTTAGTCAAAACCAAAGGGCCACTTAGCAGGGCTGAGATAGGTAGGTGACTGTCCACAAAATGGCCATGAAGGTAACGCTCAGTCTCAGATCTACAGGGCGCTCTGAAACACTTGCCTACTGTATATTGTACTACTTCAACTCTTCTAAGTATGCTTCTATATAAATTCCATTTAATGTTTCTGTTATTTGTAGTCTAATCCTACTTTTTTGTTGACTGCCACAAGAGTAACTGGCTGCATGTCATAAATGCAAATTTCTAAAATTCTAGACCTGTTTATCTAAATAAATACTTTTGAGAGAATTGACGCAGTCTGATGCTAAAGTTAAAAAAAAATCCTCATGACCTTGTGAATAATATGAATTTGTGTATCACGTAATATTTTCAAGGTTGTGAAAAATTAAGCTACAATCTAACCCTCATTTAAATATTCCAGAAAGATCAACATTTTCAGTAAAATTCCATCATAACCTTTATGTCTAATTGCACATTATTACAAAGGCTTTTCAATGTAGTTTTGAAAACACTTTATTCCATTTGCTTTGACAAGTCTGCATTACATATGAGTGATATCTATGTAATGTTTTTTCATGAAATATTAGTTTTGAAAAAGGAATAGAGATGACCAACTCCAATGTCTCATATGACAGATAAAGAAATTTTGAGACAATAGAAATGGTGATGATACATGGATGTTGGTATGAAGTTTTATTTTAGTTGAATAATTGTATGACCTTAGAATTAAAGATGAAAAAATACGTTTAGATGGTGCATAAATAATATTGATTACTAACAAGTAATTACTGATAAGAAATTATTTTGAGTAGTTACAGCTAAATATAGATATGCTTGTTATGTTTCAGAGCATACTTTATACAAATTTTTTTTGGATAAATTTTACAAAAGAAGAATTCTTTCTGGCTTTATGTGAGAAATCTATGTTAAAAGTAAAAAAAAAAAAAACCCACACAAATTTGTCTTCTGATTTCAGAGGCAATCACATTTAATATTTTATACATTCATATTGTAAGACGCACATAGAAATACTAAGAAAATGCCCTTAAAATAATCTTAGACTCTGACAACCAAACATGACATCTGCTGGTTGAACAGGGAAAGAATTCTTAATTTTTTTTTCCTTTTTATCCTTCAGGCATTTTTCCCTCCTTCCAGCAAGCATGCTAAAAAAATTTTCATTCTCTTTTATATTCCAGTTTTATTTTATGTAACATGTTCCAGTTTAAATCTTTTTAGACTAACTGACCTAAAAGTACATTCATTATCTAAACTAGCAGATAATTTTTAGACACATTATGTATGGTTATATATAGATTTTGGATTTTTAAGTATTCTTGAAATATGTACAGAGAAAAAATCTAATTGCTCAAGTTTTTAAAATAGAATTTATATAAAAGTATATTTAGTCTATTTTGCAAATAGCTTCTCAAACATTATTAAACTGAGGTTTTAAAATATGGTTTTATGCATGAAGCTCATAGTACAAGAGATATTAAGAAGAAATGTTATGTCACTTTCTTAAAAATGTTAAAGTAAAACAATAATCTTTTTTAGGTGTATACCTAAGTTTGTAAGCAGAAAGGAATTATTCCTTACGGGTCAAAAAACAAAGGATTGAAAACCAGACACTGCATAGGAGTTTAGGGAAAAAAGGAGTGTTGTTGCCCTTTGTACATTTGGGAGCTGAAAACTTAAATCCATAGGCGAAGAGGTTAAGGGGCCCGTTCAAGATGAGAAGTTGGAAATAGGCACATATGACCACATATGACAAAGACCAGTAAAAAAAAAAAAAAAAAAAAAAAGCAATCCCAGACATAGGGTATACTGGAAAAAAAACTGCCCCTTACTAGCATAGGAAAATGAGAAATATATTTATATTAACAAAAACTCATCCTTGGCTAATGATACCACTGGATTGCTTGAGTAGATCTAGTATCAATCGGTTCTTGAAAGACATACCCTCAACTGAGATCCGCAGAGAATTTTTCCAAACAAAACACATTACTAACACACGAGATAAATGTTCCACTATGAGTGGCTAAGAGGACTAGTAAACAACAGGATTAACTACAGATAACAGAAACATGAAATCGGAGTTTCAAATAAGTATGCTTAAAACAACTGAAGAAATTTACCAGAAAAAAGTGAGTAAACACTATGGGACCTTTTACAAAAGAATAATTAATACTCTTTTATTGGGACCAAAGGTAGGTTTCATAGGGGACATACATGACATCTTTATTGATCTTAAAAAAGAAGAAATTCCTCAGACAGTAAAAAAGAACTCATGAAAGGATAAAGAAGAGAAGAAATAAAACATGGCCTTAGGTAGAGAAAAAATGAATGTCTTATAGGGAACATTTCCGGACTACCACATGTGGTATGGTTGTAACATGCAGTGCCCATCTTTCCAGTCACGCTACGCAG